GGATTGTCCTATCAAAAGAGGTTATTCGCAACTTGCTGCTTTATGGCAGAGAAGACAAAGAGGAACTCGGTTGGGAGTTGTTGGATCACCCTCGGTTATCGCCACATTTGTCGCCATCGGACTTCCATCTGTTCTAAACACTCAAGCACAGGTTTGAATAAGAACGAGTTCCAAGACATTGAGCGTTTGCGTCGAGAACTGGCAGCTTTCCTTTGTTCTAAAGGTGTGTAGTCTCATCGGCGTGGTATTAATTTAAGCCGAAAAAGTGGCAATCGATTGAGCATACTTTGGTGTTGTTATGCAATTTTGATTGCTTCCAGCCAATAAATTCTCATTTGTGACACAGTCTAAAACTCATAGGGACTGTGTCACAAATGAGAAACCTAATTTTTAAACCTAATATTTCGCATGGCAGTTTCAAAATACACTGACAGCGCAGGCTAAGCCGAACAGCCTCATGCTTCCCTACCGAACTGAGTAAATTAGCACTACGACCGTCCGATTCGAAGGGACGAAGGGCCGGGTGATCGATACGCATCTAATGCTATGCGGCCACTACGATCGTTACGGTGAGGCGATCGACTATGGACAAGTGCGTAACAGCTTTAACAGCATTAGTAACCCATGCGACGAGTGAACCCTCTTCGATACACAAATGGCGGTCAATTCTTTTTCTCCTCTGCTCCACCGTCGTTTGTTCTGTTGCACGCTCTCATTAAAGCTTCTTTCAGGCCCAGTTACTCCAGTTGGAGTTCACAAAATCCAAACTGGTATGTTGATTATCTTTAAAAAATTTTTGATGTGAACGAAGTTCTATTGTGTTGCAGTCGGCCATATTCAATTTTCAAAGCCTTATTTCTGTGATATTGCTTCTTATTTGCACCTGTGCTTACGTAAGATCATTTGCTCCAAAGCTGATTGACAGGAATAAGGAAGGGTGCGTTTTAGTGAGCATGATATTCTTAGTTCTGTAAATTCAGGGCGTAAACCACTGGTGTTTTCAGATTGCTTGGAGTTTTCTGGAAGTTGGCTCGTATTGGAGAGCGACTGAGTCCTTGGGTGGCTGCGAGCTGTTTTTGTATGGCCTTCGTTGTTTTGTTTTTGTGAAGTAGTTACCATCACCAATGGGTCCAATGAGGTCGGGACGAGTTGATGAGACTGGTTATGAAATCAAGAAGCGGCAACCCCAGAAACCTACTGGAATTCTCACGGGCCGTAATCACTTTTATGTTACCAAGTAAGTTTCATTCCGATCTGCTGGCAACCCTTATATTTTGTCAGCTAAGTTAACATATAACATTGTCATACTCTGTTCTTAAGCCCCAATATACTCATTGGGTAGCAGTAACTCTTTGTGAACCGAGCGAGCGTGAACATTGTTTTTCACCGTAAAAATTGCTGTTTTTTGGAACAAGGCTACATTTGACCAGTTAGCGCGGCAATCCTTTGCGCACACAACACAGTTCTGCGGCGGTCTGGAACTGGGCGGATATATGTGCCCTTCTGAGCTAGATTCTGTCCGATTCTTCCTCGTTATCCTTGCTTCTCCAGATCATATTGCGACTATGGATTCTAGCTCCGCCCACCACGCTGCATACCCCCTGGTTTCTTGTGACCTTCCCTGCTTCGTCAACCATTCTGAGCATTCTCCCATCTCTATGCTGCCTTTAAATCGGCTTATATCTCAAGATAAACTCCGCCTATTTCGATGTCTGCCCTGCCCACCAAGAGCAGTTGACCTCATTTCCTTCGCCGACCCTCTCCCACTTTTTCCTAGTCTCCGGCACTTCTTGGAATCGAGTTGAAGAGAACCTGTTTGGAAGCAAACTCCTCATATTCTGATGCACGCCACGCCCACCACTGACATTCAACCTCCCCTCCTTTTCACCTCTCTCCATCATTTTCCCGCTCTCAGGGACTTCTCGGAACTGAGTTATGAGGACTTGTACGAAGCACCACCTACTCCGCTGCGCCCATGTGGGCAGGCTCGCTCATGTCATGTGTGCTTGGAACCCTTTAGACATTGCTTCCATAAACCAGTTCTGTCCTGCTCTGTAAGCTTCGTCATAACCTAGTTATGAATTTTTTCATTAATCTCGTTTAAAAAAAGCTCGATCCGCCAAAGGTTAGTCTCTATTCGAGCTGGCTTATCAATGCATATCTTCGCCCATTTTCCCCAGTCTCTAAGCTGTTTTAGAACGAATTTGAAGTTTTTGTCGTCAGTGCCACTCATTTCCGCTCATGCTCAAGTGCTAGCCACGCCTAATAAGGACGGCCTTCCGCTTGGCTGGAATATGTTTTGTCCTTCTCGAGACATGGCCCATCCATCCCACATCTGCGCAGCGCCCGCAGTTGTTGCGAAGTCTGGTTCTTCGTCGCCCCCCCCCCCTCGCGGCTATCAATTCGCGTCATCCTTTGTGTAGTACTCTTGTTCGCTCACAATTCGCAATCTTCACCACGGTGTTTCACCTCCTAATGTCTGAGGCTTTTAGACCTACTCATCGCCTTTGTGTTGCTAGCCTAACAATCCTGTCCCAACTGTGCTGAACTTCTTTTATAAGATTTCGGCCTCGCCTTATTTTTCTCGAAGCCTGTGCTTTTCTGTCTGGGCTCTCGCGCTACTCCGTTCTTAGCGCGTGATTCCTTCTTTTGCACGGTTGCTATGCACCGGCGGAAGGGACTGGCAAATTATAATGCCACTTATAATACCTGTAGTAGCGTTTATATGTGCAGAACTTTCCTGGGTAAAATTTCGGGAATTTTTTCTTTGTAGTATAATTTGCGTAGTTTTATTTTTATCCAGGGAATGGGATTCTTTCTGCGTCCGAAGGTTTCAAGGGAACGCCGCTTATGTGTCATGGCGTGGCTTTCGTTTTATGACGATTGAAATTCGGGATCACGGGGCGAATAGTATGCAACAGTGGTCCGGTACGAATATTGTATAGCAGTCAGTGTCTGTAATATCGAGACTTCGAGACTTTCTCGAATCTCTTACAGATCTAAAAGAGAAATTTTCTCAGCCAAATTGTCATCCTTTCTCAACGTTTTTTTTTGTTGATATTTTTTCTTATTTCAGAAAAACTTCCATTTCTTCTACGATGAAGCGCATTGAAGAAATGCTACACAACAAGGAGAATGAGGTGATTCCATTTTTGCTTCCAGTTTCTGTTCGGTTTTTTTGCTGTTTTCTAGCTATTTTTTCTGAGTGGTACTGTAACACCACGAAATCATGTTTTCATAACCCAAGGTGTTGTTCTACTGTGACTAGTGTTTTGAAGGCACACTTCGCGATTAGGTGGGTGTGGGTCATTGCTCAAAAATGAAAGCAGTAGGGATGATTGGACCGCAACATCTAAAAAATATAAGAAAAAAAACGTAGAACCTTCAAAATAAGACAGCGCGGGCGGGGTTTGCGTCCCGCCCTTTTACGATGGTTTCATTTGCTAGCCCTGTCTCATTGCAGTATTTACCATTTCAAAAACAAGGGCTGATCAATGGGGTTTGCCTAGGAGCGGGGTGCAAACCTTGCTCACTCTTTTGTGGCGCAATGTGATTCCAGGGATTCTGAGCAGTTTTTCCCCTGTAATTCGTGATGGACCAGTGACAACAAGTAGAGTTGGGGTGGGCGTGTCACTGGTGAAATGTTTTTGATAGAAGTTATGTGGACATACATCGCTGGATATCAGCAAAGCATGCTGGCAACAGCTTATCCACGCAACTTCTATCAAGTGCACGTCACTTCCGGTGACACGCCTACCCCAACTTTCGGATATCGACTGTACGTTCATTCGCGAGCGCAACAACACACTTATTCAGTCGCGGAATGATCGTAATTGAATCCCCTGTGGTGGCTATTAGCCGTTCAAACTCAACTTGCTAGGGCTTTTTGTATGCAGTCTTTTTTACTTTATATTCCTTTCAGATCTATATTCATGGGCTGGGTTCGTCGCTTAATCGAGCAATGGTACTTGCACTTGAAGTGCAAAAAGTTTTCTTTGATGGTATATCTCTTAATTTAACAACTTCCACTGTTAATGTAAGTCACCTCTTATCATGTAAATGTGCAAACATCTTGTTTCCAATCGCACGTTATTCAAAGGTGACCGACGACTTGTTTCCACTGAGCGACGAGTTCGAGATGGGTATACGTAACCGACCTCTTTCTGCTATACAAATCTATATTTGCCGCGTAAAAGTGTGAAAGCTCTCAAGCTATATTATTAATCTGCCTGTTGTTGCTCTTATTTGTTATGATTCAAATGGGTTTTTTTGGTGATAAATATTCTAGTATAGTGACTGGTATGATGCAAAAAAGTGAAATACTGGTTGTATTTTTGCCTTTTTATTATTATCGATTACTTGACTGATAAGCTACGTAGCGTTTCGTTTCCATTTGAGTCATGGAATAATGATATTCTTGCCTTGGCGGATTCTGTTTGTGAGGACTGCTCGCGAATTTGGGGGAACTCGATCTTTCGGAACTGGCAAGAGAGCAGCAAGGATAGCTATTGTCGGAAGTGGTCCAGCAGGTCAGTTCTTTTTTTCTGGACCCCATATTATGCCATTACTTTGTCGTTGCTAATTTTTTGGGTCGAAAGCGGATTTTTTTCGATAATCTGGGCACCACTCGATTGGTTCCAGCCGCTTCGTCTTGGTCTAAATTTTCCAATTATTATAAAAAAACTAACAGAACTCATTGACTTGTGTTCCACTGAGATAACGTTCAATGGTCTGGGCAGTAGCACCCAATCACAACGGTTGGAGCGGGGTAGAAAAAACCTTGGGAGCATATGCTGGAGCAAAACTTCCCTAGAGTTATGTTATGTGGTATGGATTATTCTTTTCACATTTGATTCTGCTAACTGGCAATTGAGGCGTAACTTCTAGAATAAGCAGTACATAGCCATAGAAATATTTTCTTTCCTGTGATTTTGGTATATTTTAAATCGGGATCGAGATTTATAATCGCGTAGTATGAGAAATATCAGCTTCAGCTGTTCGTAGATTGTGGGGCCTTCTTGGAGGTTATCATTTTATCGTTTTTTTTCTGGATATCGTAGCAGCATTTCTTGCTTATCGTTCATTAACATCAATAACATCGTTCAGGATTGTTCTCTTGTGGTTCATTGCTGCGGCGCTTGCCGGACAGCAAATTCGATGTATTTGATGCAGCTCCTGTTCCCTATGGCCTTGTGCGGTATGGTGTTGCACCTGATCATCAGGAGGTCGTTAATTCAATTGCTCCTGCTCACAGGCGTGCTCCATTGGTGTAATACTTTCAGATGAAAAATTGTACAAACATTTTTGATCGCATGTTTGAGTCCCATCGCGATCGTCTTTCATTGTTTTGTAATGTTAGGTACGTGTGTTTTATGATCGATTTTTAATCATTGTTTTTGATTCTCAAGGAAATTTATTTCCAGGATAGGATCCGACGTTACTGTAGAAGAGTTAACAAAACATTATGACGCTATCTTGCTTGCTTACGGTGCTCATCGTCCGCGTCACTTAGATATTCCTGGATCAGGGTCGACGAATGTAATTTCGGGATCAGATTTTGTCTCCTGGTACAATGGAGTCCCTAATGCTAAGGTGTTGGCAGTCAGTTTGTTACTTTACTCATTTCTACGGCTTTCTTTCTTTTTTCCATTATATGTTTCTATATATTACTATATATTATTACCTACCGTTTCAGACACCTCTTCTGGATGATCCCAATGTGGTGATAATCGGAAACGGCAATGTCGCACTTGACTGCGCTAGAATACTTTCTACCGTGAAATTGCTTGGAGCAACCGATATACCATCAGATGTTCTCGCTGTGCTTGAGTCTTCAAAAGTGACGAATATCAAGATTGTCGGACGAAGAGGTCCAGAGAATGTGAGGTTTTGTCCGAGCCATAGCTTTTCATAAATGTGGTCGTTTTGTTCGTTATTTTAACTCGCTTCTCAGGTATCCTTTACAATCAAAGAACTACGCGAGCAATTCAAGGTGCCTGAATGGAACACCACTGTGGAAATGGATGAGGAACAGGTTAGAAGTTTAAAAGAGGCGGTGCCAAAAATGGAAAGGCGCAAGAAAAGACTTATGAAGGTATGTGCTATCTTTTTTTGGTAGTTAGATCTTGTTTCCGCACTGAGAACTGCTTTCTTGCTTAGGTCATACATGACGTAACGTAGTGCTTCTCAAGATATCTTTTCATTCAGGTACTTCTTGATGGAGTGGGATCTCCGCAAGGTGAGAGGCAGTGTCGATTTCTGAGTTTTAGAATCCCGGAAGAAATCATACCCAATGAAAATGGCCGGATCTCCGCTGTGAGGTTAGTATCTTTTCATTTTCTTTGTATGGTTCACCAATGTAGTGCCATCCTTCAAGGTTCCTAAATAAACGCACAGGAAGCAATGAAGAATTACCATGTGGTCTTCTCATATACAGTATAGGGTACCAGACAGTTGTACTAGATGGACTGCCAAAAAATGAGAAGGTCGGTTAATTCAGCAAGGCAACTTTTAATTATCTAGTTTCGAGATTGGTTGAGATGACTACTATGTTTCATGAATTAGAACTCTAAAAATGTAATGTTTTAAGGGTATGATAGCTATGAAAGATGGTAGTAGAGTGGATATGCCATGCGGTGCTTTTGTTTATGCGGCTGGATGGTGCGCTCATGGACCGCGAGGTGTTATTGTTGACACACAGCAGGAAGCTATTGCCGTTGCTGACCATATTGCCGAAGATATCATAGCCAGGGAGGATATCTCCGGTACATCCATTCATTTTTTTGGAATTTGAGCCCTAAGTTTGACTAAGGCACATCCTTCCGCCGTAAGCTACTAAAATTTCGAGCTAAATTCAAGTTTAACCTCGCTTTTGGTGCCGTATTAATTCATTGCAAGAAAGTTATTGTATCAAATTGAATCTGCCTTGTTTCAAGCCACAGTTGTGAATTGCTGTTCTGGACAAATCGTGCTCAGTCTTGTTCAAGCGCTTGCAATTCATTCTTGGAATTGGACCTTTCCGTTTTAAATATCAACGTTTCAAGGTACCCTTGGTGGAGTGCAATCAATTCTGGACGCCAGGAATATTAACTACTTGACGTTTGATGAGTGGAAAAAGATAGACGAAGCAGAAGTGAAGAAAGGAGCCGAAAAGGGAAAAGTCCGAGAAAAGTTGACAAAGTTCAATGGTTTTCTTCGCAAACATTCTCAAGTAGAGAACGTGTAGTGATTGTTTGTGGTATATAATAGAGTTGTTGTAGACTTTGTTGAAATTTACCGTTCTCAACCATTTGCTCAATTATTTTTTTTCTTTTAATAACCATAATTTCCTAACGATTATGCGTGCTAGGTGCTGTGATAAATCGCTCAGCGTGTATTTTCAGATAATTGTTGGAAAGTTGTTGTTTGCTTGGCATAGAACTTTGTTTTATGTATGTATACATAAATCATAAACGTTACAAGCTAAATTGTTTTAGTAGGGAGAGTGAACTGTGTCTGTGCACATCGTATCTGATCCAAGTTTCTAGTTAGTTGAACAATTCTTTGCGTATTTTGATTTCTGTTTGGCTTGGTTAGTTGTATCAGCGACATTCAAGGAGTGAACCGATGGCGTCGCTTGAATCAAAGCTATTGGATGGCAAGAGTGCAGGCTACTGTAGTAGCTCAGACGAGGAAGAAGGTAGTTGGTCAGTGGCTAAGGATGACGATCAGCATCAAGTTAGTTTTCTTGCAGTTCAGTCGGTCTAAAGTTTTTTTTTCATAATTGTCAGTGTAATTCGCCTCACAACTGAGATGCCGAACTAGTGTTTCTTTCCCCGACGCTTCGTCATATTTCCAAGGGTTCCAAAAAACGCGATGGTTTATCGCGTTTTTTGGAGCCCTTGGAAGTTTGCCGTGATAGTTTCCCAGTCACCGCTGAATTGTACTAACATGTGTACCAAAGCAAAAGGTGACATCCATAGAGAATCCAACTTGAGCGTTGCCATTATATTTTGTTCATTCAGTCCCAGTTCAGATTTTATTTTTAGACACTTTCTGTTTCTCAAAGCTCTATCGTTCGCGATCAATGTTTCGTGTGAGTTGTTACAGTACAGTAGTTGCTCCCAATGAATGTCTGGGAGAAATAGTGCGCAGCGTGAATAGATGAAGAAATTCTCTATTCAGTAGTTTGTTAATCCACTATCAATCGACTATTATTTCCATGTAACAATATAGTTTCGAGAAGACAATTATAGTTTGTCATGTTCTTGTTGATAAGTAGCGATGCAGCGAGTCATCCATTTTCAGGCTAATGTGATGCGAAAAATGGGTCCCAGTACTAACACCGGTGCGAAAGGAGTACTAAACGAGTACGCAGCTTTTCAACAACAGGCTACAAGAGCGCGTGAAGCCAAAGATAGAGAAGTGCTGAGACAAGCGCGTAAAGGGATGCTGCAAGGATCAAAACTGGAACGAGAAGAGGTGAGAGTGCTTACTTTTCATGTCATCTCAGTATTAAATTTTGTTGAGTTTTGTCACTGAGATGATATAAAAGAGAAAGGTAACTTTGTGCGAATTTGTTTGTCTTAAATACTCTAAGACATGCTTTCTAAGTACGCTTAAGGCCCAAAAAAGCGATCGTGATGGAGAAGAAAGTCTGGAAAGTATTCGCGAACGACGTCTCGCGGAAATGCGAAAAGCAGCTGCGGGAAGGATTTTGGAGATTGTCAACAAGGTTGGCTAGGTGGTTTTGGAAAGAGAAAATTTTGCTTCATAATTTGAGACTATGTTCGTGAAAAACAATGTTCGGTGCGTTTATTTGCTGAACTGATGTCCGTTTCAGGATCAGTTCACAAAAGCTATCGATACTTGTGAAAATCTGTTGTGCGTGCTGATATATGAGCCAGATGATGAAATGTGCGACAAAATGACTCACGTCTGTAAGGTAGGGCTTACCTGATTTGTATTAGGCACCTAACTATGAGATGTGGCAAGCCGTGCGCGTGCGACACATACTGAGAGGATATTCAGCGAGCATACCGGAATTTGCACCATGCTTTCACGTATAGGTTGCGATCTTCGTTTAGACCAATCCATTTTTTGAGATATGTCATGCAAATTAAACTTTTTAGAATCTCAAAGGGATTAGGCACACTCGCCGCTCCATACCTGAGCGTACTAGGCGGGCGGCTGAGCGTTGCTGTCGCAGCCCTTCCGGCCAAAAGTACGACTTGCGCGGCCCTCTGATCGGCAAAAAAGGATGAAAAACTGGTTCATGGTTAGATCTTCCGTGGTTGCATTTTCTATTGGCGCTTGCCTGCTTCCATGAAATGGTACCCACGGTCCATAGATATGCTCCTACATCATGCAAAAACCGTTTTTAGAAGCGGATCACCACCTGGATGACCTCCTTGGTAAGTGCTACTGAAGTTTGTTGGGTGGACAGCTGGCCGAGAAAGCCATATTCAGTGCTTTGCGGGGCATGATTTATTATATCGTCATGGGGTACAACGCTGCAAATGGTGACCCTAGCAGATAAAAGCTCCTGTGAGGACCAGAGCATACGTTTATAAATGGTTGAAAGGACACTCCTAATCCACAAATAGCTACAGAGCTGGTGTTGCTTACGGTGCTGAGTGCTGTCCTGAGGGTAAAGAGCTTGAAGCCGAGTGGTAGCCCACATTGCGCGAATCTCATCTTCTTTGGTGTAGTCGCGCCTATTGCCGTTGCCCTAACGGCCTTTGCGTTCACACAGCGTCGTAAGTGAATCTCTTCCTCGTTGCGGACGAACGAACGAAGCTTGGCTTCACGCGTCTCTGATGGCGATGAAATTAGTTGACATTCATTCGAGAAAAGTTACATCACTGCATTAGAAAAATGTACCTTACCACGGTGAGACGGGCGCTAGCGAAAATGTGGAAGGAGAAGGAAGAACAAAATGGATATCATTCCCCATTTTTCTTTATTTCAGGTTCTGGCTGCTGATTTTCCTCGCGTAAGATTTATGCGAGCCAGAAGCACACTGCTTGAAATGAGCAAAGCTTTTGTAGGTTTTTTTTTTAGATTTGGTTCTCATTCCTCATTATTCTTGAGAAGGCTCCCATCAAATATATTATGTTTGTATTCCAGACAGAACAAGCACTACCAACCTTACAAATATACTCGAATGGTGATCTGGTTGGTAATTTCATAAAAGTACATTCTATGATAGGAGGAGAACTCGATGTCACTTCTGTGAGAAAGTTCCTCAGAAGGTAGGGAAATTTTGCACTGGTTTCCTTTTTCCCCGATTTTTAACCAGTATTGACAAAACTAGGAAGGTTCCGCTTAAGACAACATATCGACTTGGTGTATGGTAACTACAGAACCGACTCGGAGTGCTCTACTGACGAGGATATTGACTGAATCCGTATTTTATTTTGTTCATTACTTTTGAATACTTATTTACTTGTAATATACCTGAATCTCACAATACGGTATGAACACGTCGAATACCTCTCATCAACGGGCTTTCATTGAGAGCAATTTTTCAACCGATGTTTCTTTATTTTAAACAATGTTCGTATTTGTCATTTTGTGATGTGGTGATTTGACAACTATCTATTCTTAAATAAGACTTGCTTCTAGTCATGTCATTTCCATGTTTGCGAAATAAAGTGATTTGTCCACTGTTCTGGAAAATAAGCTGTCATATCAGTATTGTGCCGACTTGATTATTTTGTAGATCCTTCAAGCCTTACTGTGATCTTTGCTGAAACTTAGCATTCGCGATTCCATATTCTATGCTGATTCTTTTTACTCTAGTAGCTAGCAGTCTTTTCGCTCCTTTTTGCAGTAATCATAACCCTAAATCCTAGTTCGGTAATTCCAGAACTGATTGCACGAAGTGTGTTGTGTTTTTCTACAATATCTCAAATCTGCATATCAAATAGGTGGCATGGTTGCCTTCTAAGCAAGACAAGAAACACGGTTTCGACTCCAGCCTGGAGCGAATTCGTATATTCACACACCCATTTCGCCTGCAGTACCATATCATATAGTTTCAATACTTCTTGAAAGTCTATGGTATAGAATTATTTTTCAAAACATCCATTGCTTGCTTCGGTTTTTTGAATCTGCACCTATTCTCTTTGACTTGCTTTCAAACTGCTCTAACAAATTCGATACCTCCCTGCGTCACTTTTTTCCCTACCCTGAGGTCTGAACATAATGGTATCTATTGAGGAGAAATCTCAAGTCTTTTTTTTTGCTCTCCACTTCGGATTTTTTTTGTTGTCAGAGAGTGTGTATCCCTGTCAAATGAACAAGCACTAGACCGAGCAATTGTAAGGCAGTTAGTAGTGAGAAGAAAGAGTAAGGCTGGAAATCATGGAGTATTGATTGTTTCTCTCTTCGCAATCCAGTACGAGCTCAGGTAGGCCGGAAAAATGTTGCGCAGCACAGAAACCAAAGGTCGACGTTTCGTGCAATCAGTGCGTGATCGTATGGAAAAGAAAAAAATGGGATCTGTGAATGTGACTGATGAACTGCTTCTTTTGTACTTGATTGGGCATATGTGCATGTCCGATATGAAGGGTAACGGAGCGATTGTGTGGTGGCTTTAAGGCGGATGGGTGGCGCTTTTTACATAGAGAGATCGTATATCTCTCTTGTAACAATCAATACTGGTTCAGAGTGGGCAAGATTTTACCTTAAGACAAAAAGAGTAGTGTACTCTGTTGCGGCGAAAAAACACAAGGGCATCTTCCCTCCAGGGGTTGGGGACGAAAATCCCTTTGAATTTTCTCTGTCTTCCCAACTGGGGTTGCCCTCACAAAGGGCCTACATATAATGTATGTATGTAGGACAAAACATGCGCTGAAAATGAAGAAACCATATCGTTAAAAATTTTTGACAGATTTTCGTCCCCCAATTCCTTGGGGGAGGATTTTTTTTTTTGAAATTCGGCCCAGAGAATGCTCCGACCCGTCCCATGGAGGGGAGGTAAAGCGCGGGTTCCGACTAGATCAGAAGCAGAATTGTACTGCAGCATATCACATTTTTCACATGCCCAAAACTCACCGGTAAGATGCTAGAATAGCATTGCTGGTCTAGAATTAAGATCTAAGAATAGCTTGGTCTGGTCCTGGAAAGTTTGTCCATCAGATTCAAACATTTTGTTGTTTTAATTTGTACATTGTGCTTGTGCACAATGACCGAACAGAGACCTTCTCACCAGTCTTCACGGGTACAAGCCAATCTCGTTAAGGCCTACGTTAGCTTAGCGACGGTGCGGAGAGTGCGGAGAGTCCAACGCGCGCACTGGCACATGACGCGTACTTGGCGTACAATCTGTAGCTTCCAATCGATAATCTCAATTTCGATGCATCCTTTATATTTTTAATGTATGCTGTCTTGCTTTCTATCTTTTTTTTTGCTTAGAACTTTTCTTTCTTGTATAAAATATAATCTTTGCTCGCTGATGGCCTCACCTCAGGCTTACCGCCCATCAGATGCGAGTGCACAACGCTATTCTTTCAGGGACAACAGAAAAATATTAATTACCGGGGTAAAAAAGAAGTCGAAGCCAAAAAAAAAAAAAACACGAATGAAGGCAAGATGGCACACAAAACTTCAAAAAACAATGAGGAAAACATATTGAGACTGAAATTATCGATCGAAATCTACCGGCTGTGCGCCAAGTACGCGTCATGCGCCAGTGCGTGAATTGACACTCTTCACTCTCCCCGTACCGACCGCACCGGCGCAAAATATGAAGTCAGCCTAAGGCATTGCAACGATTCCAAAGTCTGACATCGCTAAGATTTTCTAACTGGCAGTCCTGAATTGGAAGTAGAATGCGTGGCGCATCCCGAAAAAAAAAAAACGCTTTGGGTAATGATGAACGCTAGATGCTCCATCCTTTTCTATTGTTCTGATTGCAAATAGAAAGTCATGGCCTATTCTAAAAAAAAAAAAAACGCAAAGGACAATTTCAGTGCTGAGCATTATTTTTGAGATCTTCGGCGAATGCTCCTCTTCCAGGCCAGAAGTCAGATCTATGTTGATAAGGTCGACTCTCGGCAACATCATAGCCGCTAGGTTCAACTTTACCCACGTGATTTCAGCTGTAGAGGTCAAATGGCCACAGATGGTGACGACTCACAGCAAGCTATACCTATGGGTATACTACTGGCTACAAAAGGAACAGCAGGAGATCGGCTTCTTTTCCTCTACCCTCCCTCACCAGCCAACTCAAATGGTGAGCAATTCGGACTGTTGTGAATTTT